CATTTGTCCCTCCTTGTGTTCTCCGGTTGTAAACTCCGGCAGAAAGTTCTGAGTATTTGTCCACCTCTGTACTTGAGTCTTGTTCCAGAACCTGAGTGCTGCTTGCGAAACCGTTTGACAGATCCAGCTTATTTATATCTAGACTCTTGGTTCCCTGCTTCTTAGGCAGATGTACTCCTGCCTTGAAGGATGCCCATAATTAGTCGACTCCTACTACATGATTGGGGGTGGGGCGCAGTGGGTCTATTCTTGTTCCCCCCCCCCCTTCCACACACACACACAAAGGGAAGACCACACATTTTTACACAAAGGTTTCAAATGAAAACCTTTAAAGTGGGAAATACAGTAGCCACACTATTGTCTTGTAACCTGTCAATATTGTTATGAATGTCAAGCACATGCCATTACTGCAGATGAATATGGCGACGTCGTAATGACAGTTTAGTCGATGAATCAACATCATGGGACACAGGTGTAAACCCATAAGTGCTCCGTTCTACTGCTAACTCAAGCCTGAGTCAGAAACCTCTCAACTCGGTGCACGAACTCCGTTGCACCGGCGAGAATCCTGGCATACTTTTTTGGGGGGGAGGGGGCGGGGGTGGGTAGATTTTTAACTCCAAATGTTGCCAGGGCGGCGCCGTTAGACTGTTCGTTTCAATTTCCAGCTGCCTAGGGATTTTATACGTGCGCAGTAATACACACAGGCATCCGATCTTACTACCCAAGACCAGAGGAAATTACTAGAAGTCCACGTAAAAAAAATCACAGCCTTCACTTGGGCTTGAACCCGGGACCTCCAGCACTCGAGGCGGATGCCATATTTTGAGACTGCGCAGCTCCCAGTGACAGTTTGAAGATGGCATCCTCACTTTTGACATGCACCAGAGGAGCATGTCAAACTGTTATCCATTTTGTCATAAGTGTATGAGTGAAACCTATTGACATTCATCGGGAAATAAAGATCCAGTAAGGTTATGCACGGGATTCAGTCCAGCGTGTGTATGAGTGGAGCAGGAAGTTTCAGAACAACGTGACTTCTTGGACAGACTTCATTCTGGGTCTGGCCGATCGAACAATGCCACCACCATAGTTGATTGTATCTGTTGAAGGTCTAGACAAGAACACTGCAGGTTGACTGTGAGTAACATTATCTTACATCAGTCAAGGTTCAGCTTACCCTCGTTCATAATGTGCTACAGTACCGCACGGTGGGTGCCACGGCCGCTTAGTCCAGCTGAGTTGAGTCAAGAATTGACATAGCAGCACTCGGGACATTCCCATGCTCCGTTAACATCTTCGGCACTCAGCACAGAGTTCCAATACCGTACACAATCTGATTAAATGTCCATCTTGCCTTTCCTCTGTGCCGCTTAGTCCAGAATTGATACAATAATGGATTGCTGCTTATCAAGAACTTTTGCGGTGCTTTCAAACGGAAAGTGATGGTTTCCTATTACTGGAGATGACAACTTAATTCACTACCATGAGTCGGAAACTAAGAGAGCGAGCAACGAATGACGCCATCCCTCCTCACCGAAAGCAAACAAGTTTCTCACGCCGTAGGGGAACCGGGCGCTATTCCAGAGCACAATATGCCAAGAGGGAAAACTGTCACCACTAGTACTTCTCGGAAATCATCCTCAACCTACAATGGAGTCCAAACCACGGGCGCTTTTGAATAAATGTGCCTGTCGACACATGATAATGATTATTGACCTGCACACTGCCGTGAAACAATTGAAACCATCCAAGACCTCCACTTCAGTGTCCTCCCCTGTACTCGCCAGAACTAGTTCCAAATGCTGTAGGTGAGCAAGGTAAGGTGGTACCCGGGGTGAAAATCCCCCCCCCCCCTTCCGCCTTAACCAAACATACATATTTGTTTTTATGATACCACAGAATTGTTCCATTTTGCAACCACTCTGTGGTGTCACCCGGTGCGGCCCTCACGCCTTTTTTAACGCCTGTGACTAAATGGTCAATGCGAGAAAATATCTGAATGTCCGATGAAGAGACGCATGAGTCGTTAGACGCGATCAAGATAGATTTCCTTGTCCTCTCTAGGAATCCAAACACTGTATCGGAGCTGGAGGACATGGATCAAACAACTTTGTCAGTGCACTGTACATTCAGGTTTTCATTTGAAGCCTCATTTTATATTGAACTTAATAAACACTGTTTTTCTTACTACTGACAGCTTTTATTGAGGATGTTTTCGTCTAGCAAACGATTACGTTTCCTGTGACAATTCTCTAAAACGAAGAACGCTTGAAAGGTCAACATAAGACTGTCCGATTTAGGACTACTTGAGAGGCATTTCTGACATCAGCACTAAAAGCAGAAATATGGATAGTTAGCCCACAGGCCATGTGCAAGAGGTTACATTTTATGCCGATACGTTTTGACCAATCGTGGTGTTTATTGCCATGTTGTATTATTGATTAACAGCTGCGTGTCTAGAAAAGGAAGTGCGTCTACACACGTGCGCGCGTGTGAGTGATTAAATGGAGAGTAGGCCCTTTGGTAGCGTGAAACTTTATGTTGACTCCGACAGTAGCATGAGCGTCATACATAAGCAATTGCAAATTACTGAGCAATAAACTATATTTAAAAAAAGGCACCAATAAAAGCGGGCATCGGTTTGGGATATTCTTTGAAAGAAATGCAACTACCTTTAGAGGAGACTGGAAAGTCATCGCAGTGAGGCCATGGGCTATCACTGGAGGCCGTGGCCCCAGTGGGTGGCTAAACTCACCTTGGTGAGCTCTTCTCTCGGTAGCCCGCGACTGGCTCCCAGAAGATTGCTATACTGCTCTAAGAAATACAGTAATCATTACTGGGTGTACTAATAGAAAAGCGAAACAATAATTTCGCTACTAACTCTATGCGATCAAGGCCAGATAGCAAAATTACAAAAAGTGAGATGCAGTTTGTGAGAAGAGAGAAGAGCAGACATGATGAAATCAGAAAGAAAATGTCATAGCAAGATTTTGTTTAAGAAAACAACTAGTGAGATGGTCTGGCCATGTAACTTGCTGCCAACATTCATTATACAAACGTGTATTGTAGACCTGTCGGATACCGAAAGAGAAGTCCGCCATATGAATGAAGATAAGAACCATTTGTAATCTTTGAGAACCACCCTAAGGGAGGCAGAGTAACAAATGTACACTTTCCATTCTATAATTTGTTAACATGAAGACAGGGCTTCACTGTACACATAATTTGTCTACATAATTCTCCTCCTTATCGATGTACTTTGCCCAACGGTCAACAAGTTTTTCGGTTGGCCGTGAAGCCCTTATCGATGGTAATTCTCCCGTTCGACAGAACCATCTTTCGAACTTGCTGAACGTTCTCATCTGTAGTGGAGGTTGATGGCCGCCCTGCTCCCTTTTCACGCTCTAAATTTTTTGACCAAGTTTAAACTTTTCGATCCACAAAAGCACACTTCTACGTGATAGTGCACTTCTGCCATATTGCGATGATAGTCTACGATGAATTTTCTGAACCTGTGACACCCTCCGACGAGAGCAATGGTATCACTGCTCGTTGCTCCTCCGTGGTGCAAACCTCCAAGGGGGCGGCTATGATTTATCTGCAACAGAAGGGAGAAAAATGGCGGAATTAGGATCACACTTTCAAAGCATTGTCACAACAGAATAATAATGAAATAAGCGAGGACAGAAGTCAGTGTGGACAATGTTAGAAGAGTATTGACTAAAGTGTAGATATTTGATGATGATGTAAAATGATGTGTCTAATGAGTAGAGTCACAATTAGACATGCTACTGCATAAATACGATGTGCACTCCCCACCACTCTTTAATTCGTTCATTCCTATTTATGTCTAGTCGGCTCTGTGGCTAAGTCGATGCGAATGCTTCGTAATGCCGGGATGCGGGTTCGATCCCAGCTGCGGGCCATGTGCCTTGCGTTGGTTTCGACAGAGGTATCAAAAAAGCCGACCGTCCAGGCAGCAATGGTAAACTACAGCCAGGGGCTGTTTGGGTTAGTTCTGCAACGTCCTGTAAAAGATACGCAACTAACCTTATTTATGTCTAACGAAGAGTTACCAGGGGATCTAGCCGACGCTCAACATTCAGGGGAAGGATGAGACGGATTTACAATCAGACTGTTACTGTTACAATCGGATTTGGAACTCTTCGTTTGCTGCTGAAGATGGGGACTGAATGTATGTGTTCAACATTCGCTGATCTCCAAGCAGCAGTAGAGGTCAAACAAACAGCCTGGTTTCTCCGTGTAAGCAAAACACGAAAGATGCGTCAGTCGAGTTTTCAAGAAAGTATATCATAGTCTCTATTATATTTCTGCTTGTTTCTTTCTTTCTCATGATCAGAAGATGTCTGCGCGTGAAGATCCGAGGCCACAGTATCTGATAGATGTTGAAGATGTCTGCTTGTGAAGATTCGATGTCCACATTATACGATCAGTGGTGTTGATGTCTGCTTGTAAAGATTCGATTTCCACAGTATACGATCAGTGGTGTTGATGTCTGCTTGTGAAGATTCGATTTCCACAGTATACGATCAGTGGTGTTGATGTCTGCTTGTAAAGATTCGATGTCCACAGTATACGATCAGTGGTGCTGAAGATGTCTGCTTGTGACAATTCTTTGTTAACAGTATCCGATCAGTAGTGTCGATGTCCGCTTGTGTATCTTTGTATTCTTCTCAAGAACGACATTCTCCTGGCAGTAGGTGTAGCTAGTCTGGAATGCTTTTTGTCCGAGTCATATAACAACACCTGTTCCATATAGCACTTTAACACTGTCAACCATCCCTATTCCTTCTCTTCTCACTGAAGTTATTTATCTGAGGTTAGGCCAGGTATCCAGTCGTAACCTATCTTGGCATTTAGAATAGGGTGGCCTGCTGTTGTTTTAAATCTCTCTAAATGGTCCCTCTTGTCGGGTGTTCGTTGTCGTTGCCTCTATAATATGACTTGCTATCCACCATCTGGCCATTTGAGACTAGCTGCTCTCATACTTAGTCCAACAGCTGCTCTCATACTTAGTCCAATAGCTGCTCTCATACTTAGTCCAACAGTTGCTCTCATACTTAGTCCAATAGCTGCTCTCATACTTAGTCCAATAGCTGCTCTCATACTTAGTCCAATAGCTGCTCTTACACTTAGTCCAACAGCTGCTCTCATACTTAGTCCAATAGCTGCTCTCATACTTAGTCCAATAGCTGCTCTCATACTTAGTCCAATAGCTGCTCTTACACTTAGTCCAACAGCTGCTCTTACACTTAGTCTAATAGCTGCTCTTACACTTAATCCAACAGCTGCTCTCATACTTAGTCCAACAGCTGCTCTCATACTTAGCCCAACAGCTGCTCTCATACTTAGTCTAACAGCTGCCCTCATACTTAGTCCAACAGCTGCTCTCATACTTAGTCCAACAGCTGCTCTCATACTTAGTCCAACAGCTGCCCTCATACTTAGCCCAACAGCTGCTCTCATACTTAGTCCAACAGCTGCCCTCATACTTAGTCCAGCAGCTCCTCTCATACTTAGCCCAACAGCTGCCCTCATACTTAGCCCAACAGCTGCTCTCATACTTAGTCTAACAGCTGCCCTCATACTTAGTCCAACAGCTGCTCTCATACTTAGTCCAACAGCTCCTCTCATACTTAGTCCAACAGCTGCCCTCATACTTAGCCCAACAGCTGCTCTCATACTTAGCCCAACAGCTGCCCTCATACTTAGCCCAACAGCTGCCCTCATACTTAGCCCAACAGCTGCCCTCATACTTAGCCCAACAGCTCCTCTCATACTTAGTCCAACAGCTGCCCCCATACTTAGTCCAGCATCTGCTGCAGTGATTTTACGTTACCCCCTCCCCCCCCCCGCTCTTCCCATAGGGGGATAAACAGAGTTTCCGGCTTGCCCGTAGGTGTCCTAAAGTAGGGAAAGAGTTGCTTTAATTCTCCGTAGATAGAGAATAATCCTTTCCTGATACACCGCAACCTGCATCGGATTAAAAATATGTCTTGTAATTCGACAGCACTTCACCCAGGAGGCCAATACACGCACAGTCCCACCCAACAAATGTTGCACTGTGTTGATAATGTGTTGTGTGCTGATTAGCTGCACGTCCTGTATATTTGGTTTAATCCCGAATTGTAGTCTCTGCCTGAAGTAGTTTAAACACTTTAAATGACGAACTACTGTAGTTCCTATTTCCAGGCCCTGTGGCTTTGGGTATATGATGCTAGCGCCATTTTTATCAAGAACAATCGGCACTCGATATGTGAGGTGTTCGGATTTAGCAGGTTACTTAAGGACATTTCAAATTAGCCCCTTTCTGTCAGTCCTCCAGTAAAAGAGAAGAGAACTGTAAACTAAATAGAGAAATTAAACGTAGACTGCCAGCATTGTTTCATACAAGTTACCAGGAGAAATACAACTGAACACTCAGTGGCAGGTGGCAAACTTTGTAGTAGAAGAGCTCGAGGAAGTCAAAGAGGCAAAAACCCTATGAGCTTACCACATAGCGATGGATATGGCAAGAATACCGATTCGATTCAAGATTCCCATAACTCATGGTTAATTAAAAATGCTCTCGGCAGGGCACACTTTAATGATTATCTTAAATTGCGTCCGATTTAAAAACCCACATGACTGGGATTCGATCCCATGCCCACAGAACTGGCGACGAACGTGTCTCCAATAATGGTATGCTAACAATTAATAGTTTACAACCCTCCTCCCCCCTACACCCTTTTTAAACAACCCTTATAACTATCCCTTTCCCGACTTGTTAAATTACTAATTCCGAAATCAATATATTTATACGTATTTAAAAAAAAATAGATATCATGTTAATGCTACCTAATGGCTCTTTTAACAAATTCCCGGTGACATAGATAGGCTGGTGTTTCATTGCAACGTGCAGTGCGTGCGGTTTGTGCAGTTAGTGTCAATCAATGATCTTTCTCCCTGCTAAACGAACGCAGTATTGCACAATGTAACACCACCTTGTGCTAGGTACAAAGTTTGATTATATTACGATGCCTAAAAATAACGAATGATAGTTCAACAGCCGGTAAATATATATTATGACGGAAAAGAATAACTAAAATATGTCTGACTACTAACTGCCAAACAACTGCATTTATTTTACCACCATTGCGATGTAGGCAGGAGGGGGTCTGCGAGCTTGAGGATTTACGGATGCAAGACTAGTGCTGTCGCCACGACTGTGCGGGTGAGGATTTTATTTTTCTCCCGACAGAAAAAATTTCAAATCTTACCGAGGATTCGAACCTGGGTCGCCCGCTTGAGAGACAAGCGTTCTAACCGTTAGGCGAGACGCTATAAGTTTGACAACGCAACAGAGTGCTTGTTGATAACAGTGCAAGTAATTCATAAGGTATTGAAGGTAAGAAACAAACTTCGGCCCATCTATAACTTCTCAGAACATTTCCAGACAAATTTCATTTTAACAGTTCAGCAAACAAGACATCTAATATCTCCTTCTTTATTTATGTATGTAATTCCCTTTCCCAGCTGTCCATTCGTTCATTACCATTCTTTCACTTCCTCAGAACAGGCCTATTGCTAACGGGACAAGTCCGGTTCTAGGTAGTCATCATCATCAACAATTCTCTTAATGCCTAGTGGCACATCAGGCTTCAGAGAGGACTTTCCATGCTTTCCTGTCCTTTGCAATCTTCAGAGTTGCCGCACTCAAGTCACATTCCATCGTCCATCTCCATATTGTTTCTTGGGCTCCCTTTTTTAAATTCTTTTCCTCTGGTACCCACGTGAAAGCTGTTTTGGCAGGTATATCAAAATTTAGCCTCGTAACGTGGCTAAACCATTTCCATCTTCTCTTGGTTATCATACTGTCTAGAGTTTCTTGGTTTGTGACTTTAAGTAGCTTGGTGTTTGAGATTGTATTTGGCCAGAAAATTTTTATAATTCTACGTAGACACGTGTGGTGGAAGGTGGATATCTTATGTGCATCCTTTTGCATCCTTTTTGGTCATTCTCCGGTATTCTACTCCATAAAGAAGAACTAGAATAAATGATCTTGTAGAGTCGGAGTTTCGTTCCTCTGCAGTAACTGTTGGGTTTCCAGATTTGCTTCATGGTTCTAGGTAGTACTGTCAAAAAGCCATATAACAACCGCCCTCTCGAAACCTTGGTAGTGGGTCAAAGGTTAGGTCCTATAAGATACAAATTCACGATTGGGATGTTCCGTGGACATGCTGAAGTCCCTCGGTAGATGAAAAGAGCCTCTGGATGAAGACGTGCTGAGCCGCATGCGTTAGTGCGCCAAAAACTGTGACCAAGACCTATTCCACAAACCAGAATCGACGTTTCTTTCGGAATCGAAGATATCTGCCTGAGAGGCGAGGAACCAACAGTCTGCACACACATACGACATATTTTTAAAACAAGTGTGCACGCAAAACTCAAGTCCCGGGACAAAACTTAAGTCCAAATATAGACAAAAAATCTGGACTTTCTGCCGAAGTATACAGCCAGTAAACGCGAAGAAGTAGCAGAAGAAGAAGAAGAGAAGAAGAAGAAGAAGGAGGAGAAGAAGAAGAAGAAGAAGAAGAAGAAGAAGAAGAAGAAGAAGAAGAAGAAGAAGAAGAAGAAGAAGAAGAAAGCATAAATAACACGACAGTGGGCTGCAAGAGAAACATTTCAAGATCAGAAAACCATTGATTCGCTCATTGATAACATAACGGCTTAATGCTGGTTCGTTAAAAAAAACAAAAAAACTGATGCTCTAATTATAACGTCCATGGAGGTTGAACTGGGTTTGCCCTGTTGGTTTGCCACCAGAACTGAGAGATTTTAATCTTACGATGGCAAACTTTCGGGTCCTGCTGGTAACTTTCGGGACCTGCTGGTCTGCAATCCAAACTGATAGCTACAGATTTTAGGATGTTAAACGTTTTTGGAAGCAGCCCAAAGTGAATAAACGGCATACACACGCATGGTAAAAACATAATGAAGCTGTTGGGTATCTTACAGCACGTGATAAACCGCTTTGTATTCAACAACGGTATGAACGTCATGCCATTTAGAAAGCAACTTAACGTACGTACACTTGTCTTGTGAAAACACACAGCAATTATTAGTTATGCAGATAACATTGATGCTTGTTTTTGTATAATTGCGTCACATTTTCCAGTATATGTGACGACCATTTGACGAGGTCGTGTCAAGACTTGCCCTGGTGTGTTGCCACGTGCAGCCGCTGATCTGGTTCACCATGGACTGCCCCTGAAAGCACATCTGTGCGTCATTGCAAGGACCATGTCAGTCTGACCAGACACCAGCTGCTAACAAAGGTTTATTTTTACATTTACAGCTTTATGTATTGTCCCGCTGAAGTCAGAATGGATTTATTACGTCATCTTTTCTTGTGTTCTATTAGTATGGCTATAACATTGGCATGTTTATAATGTAGTGCGTGTAGCGTTATTCACATGACTGTTCACATGGGTTAGTTAGGGAGATCTCATGGCGGTTCGCATCACAAAAGCGCTTTAGAGAGAGCACACCGAAGATTCTTACATCTGCCCTCGAACACTTCTCGGGGTAATGGAGCAGGGCAAGATCAGAAAGGGATTAGTAAAGTCACAACGGAAACCTTTGCTGGGAAGTGTGTAGTTAGTGGGTTTTTTTAAGGAGTACCAGTGTTCCACATAATTCTGCTAAGCCCTGTTCCGGAGCCCCATTTTGGATAAAACAAGAACAGACCCGCAGCCTCTCTAACAAGTATGTCGTAGTTTCGAGTAATTGGGCGTTTCCTCTAAAGTCGGAGTGCATCTGCCTAAGCGACAAGGAAAGACCAATGGCACACAAATTAGCCAGTAAAATGTACATGTAAAGCTCTGGCCCTGGTACAAAGCCAAAGTCCAAGTGGACGAACAGCCAGGACTTTCCACCGGAACTTAAAGGTGGTGAACGAAGAAGAAGAAGAGAAATACTGCTATGAAGGTTCCTGTCCGCTGCTATAATCATGCAAGATCACCCAGTGCATAAACTCTGTAACACCAACGAGGATTCTAACAATTGTATACCCCATGCTAGCTATACTTTAGGTTGGTGTTGACAGTTTTGAAGTATAAGCTAAAAAAAACATCACATCTAGTTCACTCTTCAATGCTTCTGATTACCGAGTATTCGTTTAACATTATGAAGCTGACGACGACCCCAACGACCAAAGGGGAAAAAACAAGGGAAATGAGGGGGGGGGGGGGCGAGAGGATTCTCACCCCCCCCTTTTTACGCATTTAAAACTGTGTAGGCAAATAGTGGGATGGGAGACCCCAAGGGGCATAATCCTAGTTTAGGAGAATAATAGTTAAGCAAACAATACTTCTAGTAATAATGTGCTGAATGGCTAAAAAAATAAAATAATAATGACATATTTGAAATAAAATTACAAACAAATAATTTTAAAGATAGTTTCTCCACATTATTACAGGATATCGATTATCCTACATGCAACATTTCTGTAGACAAGAAGGCCCTGTCCACAAGCCCCCTCGCCCCCCCCCCTCCATCATTCCCCTAGGAGACCGGCGACCCTGGTGTGGTTTATGGTCGACTCGACTGCTAGAACCCTGGGACTCCACATTCGAAGTGATACAAGAGGAAGTTAATAAAGGACAGGGCAGACAGTACACACCAGACGCATTAATGCAGCAATGTAGCCAATGTTAGGCTAGCAGAAACACATTATAATAGGAATACAAAAAGCAAGAGCAGCTTTCATAACACTAGGAAGTATCCAGAAGTCCACACACACCGAAAAATTAGATGGAGTCTAAAATCGGTATCAGGAAACGTATTGGGGAAGATAAGGCGACCTGTGTGATGGTGACCACATCACCGATTGGT